AAGAATCTTTCGATTCTTTCTCTCCGCAACTCTATTTGTTGGGGTGAATAAGGTACTGTTGGAGGGCGACGAATTCTATGAGTCTGACAAAAGTCATTGAATTATTTTGAAGTGAATTTGCCTCCTCTATATGACCTTAAAGCTTTTATTTCACATACACTTTCTTTTTTCACAAGTACTTTAAATTTTTAAAAGCAGCAAAAACTTCAGATTTTTGGTTCAAGAAATAAACTCAAGTCTTTCTACTATAGTCATCAATGAAGAGCAAAAAATATTTACTTTTACCAAATGAAGGTGGATTGATTGGTCCACATACATCAATGTGAACCAGCTGGAGCGGCTTGGTTGCTCTTGACATGGTCTCCTTTGAAAAACTCTTTCTTGCATGTTTTCCAAGAAGACAAGCTTCACACAATTGATTGAGATGGTTGATTGATGGCATCCCATGCACCATATTCTTTTTCCCCATTAATTTGAGTACTTCAAAATTCAAGTGCCCAAATCGATGTGCCAATACCATGATTCATCTTGCACATTAAATTTCAAATACTTTGCATCAATTATCTTAAGATTAAGAGAAAATAATCTATTCTTTGCCATATGCACTTTAGCAATTAGAATTCCACTTGAATCTCTAAGCCAAAGATGCATATTTTTCCATGTGGATATCATATCTCTTTTAAAGAAATTGGCCCAAACTCAAAATATTATTTTTTAATTTTGGCACATAATAAACATCTTGAATTAACTTGTGGCCACCATTTTTACAGGAGATCATAATCGTACATATCCCTTATATTTGAATCTTTGAGGTATCTCCAAAGGACATATTACCTCTCATTCCTTTATTGATCTCCACAAACTTCTCTTTGTATCCACACATATGATTGCTTGCTCCATTGTCCAAATACCACAAGCTACAATCATCCTTGTCTTCTTCTTTGAGTGACAACAACAATATTGACTCATCTTCTTCTTTCTTATCGTCAATAAGGTTAGCTTTCTCTTTAACATTGCTATGATATTCCCAAAAGTAATGGCCAAATTTATGATAATTATAATACTCAATTTTTGACTTGTCATACCTCTGTCCATTATTTTCTTGATAGTAGCCATGCTTCTTCCTCCTCTTTGTCCACGACCACGGCATCTGAATATTTGATGGATTTTAACTTCATTGTTGAAGTTGTTACCAATACTTCTTCCTCTTTCATGACCGCCACAGCCTCGTCCTCGTCAATTTTCTCGATAGCTTTTTTCACCTCCATAATCCTTAAAGGATGCCTGAGTTTTGAGAAGTTGTTCCAGTGACACTTCTTGTCTCTTCTTGATCTTTTCTTCGTGGGACTGTAAAGAACCCTCCAATTGCTCCACCGTCATAGAGTCTAAATCTTTAGACTCCTCAATAGCATACACCACAAAATCGAATTTATGTTTTAAAGTGCGAAGGATCTTTTCTACCACGCGGACATCTTCTATGTCCTCCATGTATCTTCTTAATTGAACAATAATCGGAAATGCAATCGGATTCTTTCATTTTTAAAACTTCAAAATCAGCCCTTAGAGTTTGATGTTTTACCCTCCTCACCTTGTCAACTCCTTGGAGAGAATTTTATAAAAACTCCCACCCAACCTCTAAAACTACAAATTGAACATCAAAACGAATGAAATTTCAAAGGAAACTCAAGAACATCTAGAATCACAACTAAGTGTCTGAATCTTATCGACCAACTCTGAATTGCACCAAATTTTGCAGACAAGTTTCAAATATCAATACAAACCTATTCCAAGTCCCAAAACTAAAATCCGAACCCGATAACCATAAAGTCAATCTACGGTCAAACCTATGGCTGTCCAACGGGACAGGACGTCCCGTCCCGTCCCGTCCCGCTTAATTTTAAACGGGATGGGCCCATGTTAAACGGGATACAGGATGGGACGGGATGGCCATTTCATCCCATTTATC